GCAAGGTTCGAGAGTATCATCTCAGATTAGAGCAAGGATGATATGGTGAATTTGCACTTAATTTAACTCATTAAGTACATATCACTTTTAGTTTGCGACCTTGAGGGTAGGTAATGATTATTTGTTTCTTTGGAAGGTGTAGATGTTTTTATGATGGACATGGAAGACTGAAAATTAGACGTTAGGATATTTTTAAATTGAAAATTTTGCATTTAATTATACAGAACTGCTTATTGGGCTCTTGTTTTAAACTAAACGGTTTTATTTAGCTTGCCCTATTTGTTTGTTTGGGTCAAATTTAGTAACTGAAGTTTCTGTTGACAGAATGATCTGATATTTAGTACACACATTTAGTTTTGATGACGATACAATTCAATACATTATTTTTACCATCAAGTCATTTGAACAATTCGTTCAGGCCAGTCTCAACTCTCTACACTGTAGGTTAATGGACTGACACCTATCATAAAAAACTACTCCCTTGGCTAATACCACGAAGGGCATTGGATTATATTCAAGATGGCCGCAGCTTACATACTGTTTCACAACTATCTCAATATGGGTATCAAATGACATGGCTTGATTAGTAGAATAGTAGTACACTATGAAAAAGATGCAAATTCAAGATAGACGCAGCTACAAAATGGCTGATTACATATTTTTTCGCAGCTACCTCAATATGGGTATCAAATGACAGAGCTTGAATAGTAAAATAGTAGAACACGTTGAAAAAGATGCTAATTTAAGATGGCCGCAGCAACAAAATGGCAGATTACATAATTTTTCCACAACTACCTTAATATGGGTATCAAATGATAGGGCCTGACTAGTAGAATAGTAATACACTTTGAGAAAGATGCAAATTTAAGATGGACGCAGCTACAAAATGGCGGATTTCATATTTTTCACAACAACCTCAATGTGGATAGAAAATGACAGAACTTGACTAGTAGAATAGTAGTATATTTTGAAAAAAAAGCAAATTCAGAATAACCGAAACTATAAAATGGCGGAGTACAGATTACCTTTTTTATTGAGGCTCTAAATGAACAAAACAAAATGAGAATAATTGAATAACAAAATTAGAAACTGAAAACATGAAAATAAAATAAGTAAAATAATTATGTTGAACAGTTTTATTGAAAAAAAATAGTAATGATTTAGGTACTGTACTAAAAACTAAAAAATAATTCCTAAGTAGTAGTCATCACACCACTCTCCCCAGCAATCTACGGTATTGAACAGATAAAAAATAATAGAATTGTTGGGCTTAGTATTGATATATTTACTCAGATTACGCTACGCACAACGATTTTATTATTTTTTATCTGATATGATGTGATGACTGCTACCTAGGACCTTCCGAATTATTTGTTAGTTTCAAGTACATTATCTACAACATCATTATCTTTTTCTTTCAACAAAACCGTTCAATATATTTTTTTACTTATTTATAAAGCTCCCTATGTGGAATTTATTTTGATCCAAGTGACATCCACGTCACAAAAATTTATTACAAATAATATAAAGTATAAATATAAAATATATTAAAGTTACTAATTCTACGTGTGTATAAATAAAAAAGGTGTATATTAAATAAACCGAACACTTCACATGAAAATAAAGTTACGGCTGAAACTCCTTAACAGTGTAGCAGTTTTTTGACAATAAGAGTTGCTTAAGTTTTCTCTTGAAAATATGTACATTTCCTGAAACTTTAATGTCGTCGGGAAGTTTGTTATACATATGTTTCTTTCAGATTCAAACTGGAAAAAGAACTCTTTCGAAACAACTACTTTTATGAATGACACCAAAAAAAAGTCCTTCATAAATAACTACTTTCACACCTACATTGAATTACACGGGGTTTCATGTTCTCACATAGTTGAATTAACAAAACAAGTGAATTCGTTTCGTTTATGAATAACAAACTTTTCAGTATTTTTCTATATATTGAGATTAGGTTTGGATTTTATTTTTGCTACAGTACGTTTTGTATTCAAATATATTTTTAACGTTTACAATAATAAAGTAAAAGAGTAGGTACCAGAGTTTTCGTGACTGTGGTTGTTATTTAGTTCATTGGCTCAAGATGCTGAATTGCAAATTTCTGCTAAATAGATGAGGATGTAACTGACACATCTATTTTTTTTAGAATAATCCATACAAATCGAGCAAGATGAGGAAGAAGAGAGCCATGAGAAAGAGAGCGAAGAAGAATAAACGAGTGATGATATAGAGTTCGATGATGAATAATGTAATTTTCTTGCTGCTACAATTTTCATCATATTGATAAAATGATGTGCCCGGGCTCACTACCTCAGAGATCGTCTGTAAATGTGTGCATACAATTGGAAATACGAGTTTCATACGGTCTGAAATCCCGTAAACTCGAGAACGATTATTTCAAAGAATAAAAATTTAAACTATTTCAGTAGAGAATTTTATGATCCACAAACTTTCTCCATTCGAAAGATATAAGCAAAAAACAAAAATTTGCGATCTCGAATAGAAAACATTTAATTTATGATGTAGTATTTAAGGTCTGTACAAAAAATCAGATGGTTGGGAATTTTTGCGAAGTCAATCCTTTTTTTCGTCTATTTTATCTGGGCTATAACTTTTTTGCAAGACGAGTCGACACTAAACTCACTTCGCATACCTAATATTTTACCCTGTAAAGTAAATGAAGGCAGGGCTACTGAAATTGCCCGTACGCCACTGGAGAGTAGTTCAGCTGGTCGCGTCGTGACAACAGGACAAGCCCTGTATATAGCTCATAAAAACGCGTGACTGTAATTTCAGACAAAACATTTCAAACCATCCGATCCTATTATGCTGCCATGAATCAAGGTACTTGAGTCATCCTTGACCCTAGAAATATTCATTTGTCCGGGATGCCTCCAACTGAGTTTCGAGAATAAAAAGTGAGGAATGAAAATTATCATTTAATTGCCTCCAACTATCAGCATTTGAATATCCTGCTTCTAATAAGGAGTGCTGTGTCATATTGTGACAGAATCAAGGTAGTACTCTTAGTATAACGTTTTTTCATGAATATGGAGCACTTTTAACTTTTGTAAGTATCGTGAAGCTCAGATTTGATATTTTTTTGGAACACTTCTGTCAGGAAGTAGCGAGTCTTGGTACTAAACTGGTAAATTTAAATTTTTCAAAAAATCTTCCTATCAACCAACCACAAGTCTCAGTTTATTGTTATGATAATGTTAATACCCAATAGGCTACATCTACGGCATCCAGATCCTTAATCCTCAAGCTTTATATGTGACAAAGGAAATGTATTTCTAAAGTTCACGAAACTCCACGGGAAGCAGGAATATCTATTGAAATAACATAATATTAAGTCTGATTCAAAATGATACCAAAACTGTTTGATGAAATAAAATTAAACACGTAGGCATCAGGAATATTTATCCTATAATGAACAAAACAATATTCATCCTTTATAAGAGAACACAAATCAAGAAGAGATTTGGATCTTCTTCATTTCTACGTAACTAAGTCAACTCCTTCCATACAACTTGTTGTATGGAAGTCCTCGTAGAACTGGTTCCCTTTCAGTGGAAGAGCTTTATGAAGCAAGAGCTGAATCGATCCCTCTACGAAACTCTTCTTCACTTGGAAGGATTGATCGCAGCTTGAGAAATGGTTCTTATGGAGATTCTGTGAAACATGTTCTTCCTTACGAATCAGTAGATAGTTGTCCTGAAAATCTAGAGAAGAAAATTGGATTGGATAATTCAGGAAACACTTGCTACATGAATAGCATTTTACAAGTATTGTTCATGACGAAGAATTTCAAGAACGAAGTTTTAATGATGAACGAGAACGGGAATGTTTCCTACTTATTCATCAAACTCAAACAACTGTTCATGCAGCTGCAGTTTCGTAAGAAGGGATCATCTTTTCCTCCAACCGATTTCCTGGAGTCTTTGAAGTCCACTAGATACTCGTTAGGACAACAAGAGGATTGTTCCGAATTCTTGGGGTTCTTGTTGAATACTCTTCGTGAGCAAAACAATAGCAAAATCAATACTCCTGACCGCTCTGGACTGAATGATTCCGTACAAGCCCATCTCGTCTTGTGTTTGTAAATCTTTTGCTGGAAAAATCCTCACTTGTTTACTTTGTGGTAAATGTTCAAGAAGTACCGAAAACTTATGTGAATTTCTGGAACTTCATCTAGCTTTTCCTAATATGACTAATAACCAGTCCGTGCAAAGCTTATTGTTAAATCATCTGAAAATGGAATTTTTAACAGGTGATGATCGACTGTATTGTCAAACATGCGCCAAACTAACTGACTGTTATAAGGAAACAAGTATAGCTGAGGCACCAGTCAATCTAATAATAACACTGATGATTTTCAAACAAGTCTCAACCTCAAACGGAAGCAAGAAACTCTTTGGAAGGTTCGAAATAGATGAACATTTCAACCTAGCAGACCACTATTATAATATTCATGCAGTCATTGTTCACTGTGGTTCTGGCGTTGAATTTGGTCATTATTACGTCTTGGTCAAAGACGAAACGGACTGGTTTAAGTTTGACGATAATCGTGTCATGAAGTGTTCTGGCGATGCATTGAATTCATTGGAGCCTCTAGAGACACCCTACATTTTGTTTTATAAGAGAGAGGACATTGTTAGATCAAGATCTTCAGATGATGTGGTGCTGCAGGTTTTTCCGGGTTTTCCTGCAGCTGAAAAAGCAAGTGCGCCAATGGAATCAATGAAGTCGCCCCGGAGCGCCAATTAATTTTTATTGTTGTTTTTATTTTATTTTAAATCGTTGTTTTAATAAAATATTTATACTTGTTTATGTCATTGATGAAAACATATTCAAAAATTCCAACCTCAGAAAATCTCATATAGCTAAAATAATTTAAAATAAAAATAAGAATTTAAAATTTTCTTAGCAATAGACACAATGAACCCATTGTGTATCAAGCCTGGCACTTGCTTGGCATCAAGAGTACCTCTGTCAGATTCTTATGTCATAATTTAGTCAAAATTGTCGTGAAGTCGATCATATCAAATTTTTCCTTCGGAATTCTAGTAAAACTTTAAATATTCCAAATTATAAGTGGATTGTAAACCGTATTTTGAATTCTCAATATGGCCTTCGTGTGCCCCGAAAAGTCAGAGAAGAGAAAATCCCTACTCAGCGATCTCAAGAAACTAGTCAATCAGATAGGAGACAACTGCCCTCCGCAATGCTGTCCAGTACCTTGCGGAACTATACCAGTTTGTACTCCTGGCACTTGCCCTCCTCAGAGTGCAACGGTACCAATTTCAATGCCGCCATGTAATCCACCCATTTGCGTACCACCGATACTACCTATCTGCACGCCGGTGCCACCACCATGCGTCCCTGTATGTAATCCAAACCCAGAAGAGCAACCGTGTGTACCCTGTAACCCTCCGCAAATGATGGTTTGTTATCGAAGGCCTAAAAATAATGGAAACAATGGTACCAGATCCAAGTCTCGAGAATTAAGAGCTAGTATTCTTCATGTTGGGTGTGACTGCGAAAAACACAACGGCCTCCAAGACGACTGTCAAAGATCAGAATGTCACGGCGCACCAGACTGCCTTACACAACCAGATCCCTCTTGTGGACCAAGCCAAGCCTCAAGGTATTCAGGATACACCAGTGGCCAGAAAGATCTAGAGCAATACCAGTGCTATCCAGCTTATGTCAAGTTTCCGCAGTGTCCTCCTTGTGGGCCTCCTGCGAATGGATCTCCATCTTGCCCTGCTACTTGTGGTCCATGTCCACCACCATGTCCACCTAACTGCAGTCCATGTTCTCCTTGTGGTCCTTGTTGTCCTCCATTTTGTCCACCGCCTTCTGTTCCCCTGATTGCACAGTCTCCTTGCCCACCTCCAATCAAACCTAGCTGTCCACCATTGGTACCAATTGGAAAAGTTGTTCCAGTAGCTCCGGCTATTCCATGTCCCATCATGTGTCCACCTCCTATGCCATGCGCTGCTCCAATTTGTTGTCCGCCACCTTGTTGCCCGCCACCATGCTGTCCACCGCCATGTTGTCCATGTCCTTGTTAGATCCTATCATTGTATATTGATCTCCATTGAAAATGGTGTACTAAAAATAAAAAATGCGTTTATGTTTGTTATCATTATTCATCATCATGAAGGATAAGCAAGAGTTCCTGACAAACCAAGATTCGATATCGACTTATCGACTTTGAAATATCACTCTTTGTCTTTCTACGGCTCTCACTATAAATAAACAACAAGATGGATCCTTGAAGCGTTGCATTTATGGTTCAGATGACCGTAGTGAGACTTAATTGTCATGAATGCAACTTTTGAACTGAACGGTTCCTAAGAACCAATCCGAGTAAAATTGAGCATAATAGCTTTCCCTGTGAGGGTCGCTTCAAAATTATTACTCTGGAATTAATTGAGACATGTCTGTTATGCAGAAAACGGATGCTGAAAATTTCAAATCAACGGTCAGATTTTTTTTATTATTTCAGGAGTACTTTGGGAATCAGTGTTTGGCCTTATCTTTATTTGTCAGAAAAGAAACTCTTCAATACAACGGTCGTACCGTACTGGCGGATTTCTACCTGAAACTACTCCAAAATGAAAGGTGCTACCATAACTTTCAGCCAGAATTCTTTTTATTATTGGAAAAAAAATCTGTTTCAAATCTGATGTTTTTCCGATAATCAGCTGTCGCCCCCATACGAACGACAACTCTCAGAAGTTGAGAAACTTGTGCGAGCTAATGACTAACGAGGTCTTACCTTCCAACGTGTGATTGCTAACACAAACCTGAGTAAGTGAAGATTATGACAACTTCTCTTAGGAAGAGACCATCTATGGGATCAACAGAAGACTCAACCTAAGAATATCAAAGATAGCAGAGCTCTCCAAGCTGGTCATTTGAAAACTATTCTTAGGCTTATATACGGATATTTGTTTATTGTTTGTTATTGAAAGTTGAAAGGTCATATTTGAGCATTATTATTAGAAGAAAATAACTTCATCCACAAGGTAATTGTATGAAGTTTATTTCTTTCAAACAGATAAAATATTGAAAAATTTGGGCCCTAGGCAACCAAAAAAGAGTTTACAGCAATGCAACGTTTCTTCCTAACAGCGATAATACTGTCAGCCATGAAATTAAAATCTATGTGTCGTTATTCTTGAATCATACTTGACTCTCAGTCTGACAATTTCGATCATTCTCACTTTTTTAGTCAAATTGGACCAATGAAATCAAATATTCAAAAAGGATTGTGACTTTATATTGAAACTTTGCATAAATGCTTGTACAGAAATTCACAGGTTAAAGTGGATATCATGTTTATGACAGTGACTAGAATCTAACTCTACTGAAACGACTTAAATCACAGAAGTAATTAAGTTTTTGTTGGAGACAGATGATCATACATGGTTGTTTGAAAAGGTAGTATTGATGTGTGGTATTTTTGACGCCTGCAGACGTGAGAATTTAAGCTGACTGTGGATTATTTTGAAAGCACCAGTACCAGAGTTTTGGTTACATTGAGGTATTCTAAAAACGAAAAGGACAGGGTATTCGTCATTCCCAAAGAAGAACTTCCTTTTGATGCCTATTGTTTATATCGAAAGTACGTAGATTTGCGGCGCTCAAATTTGGAAAATCGACGATTCTTCATTGGTTATAGGAATGGTAAATATGTAAAACAAGTTGTAGGCATTCATACTATTGGATCTGTTTCAGAGAAAATTGCAGCATTCTTAAAATTGGGAAATTCTCAACTCTTCCATCGGTAAAAGAACTTGGATGTTGGAACTTATCTCTCTTCTTAGATGTGTTGGTGAAGAGGACCGACACTAAGTGGGAAACATCTGTATATCGAAAACCCACTCACACAGGACATTATCTGAACCATAAATCCAACCACCATCAATCGACTAAGAGAGGAATCATCAAGACTCTACTAGACCGTGCCTTCGGGCTCTGTAATACAAAGGAAGGTTTCGAAAAGGAACTAGGCATCATAAAAAAATGACCAACAACGGAGTGATGGTAGAGCAGGCTTCAGCTAGAAGACAGCAAAAGCTCCACAAGAAAGAAACATACACAGCGAGGAGAAACCAGCAAATTCGGAATAGCAGAGCATGTTTGGACTCATCAACATAATATCAAATGGGCTCAAGCTGAAATCATCCACAAAGAGGAACACTGGTTTAGAAGAAAATTCAAAGAAGCCGCGTATATGTTGTCCAACAACGCATTTAGTCAAGCTAGCGTAGAGATACCTAACATATGGAAAGCTCTAATCAAGCAAAAAACGAATTTTTATTTTTTTTGTTGTTGCTTGTATGTTATTTTTTTGTGATTTCAGTTTTTTTGTTTAATAAATTTGTTATTTTCGGTTAATCTTTATAATTTTTTCAGGGATTTCAAATCAATTTATATTATATTAGACAATGGAGGTCCGAACTGATGAAATACATTAATATTATTGTTATTGTTAAAAAATATTTGTACAAGTGATTTCTTAACGGCCGCCGGCCATTAAAAAATCTTAACGGATGGAAGGTGTTAACTTTTCAATTGTCATCTGAATACCTTTTAATCAAAATAACAGTATGGGATTACGAAAATGTATTTTCTCCTACTGAAGCATGCACTGCATGCTATTTTTGGGTTCATAACGCTGCAGCTCTCTTATAAAGGAAATGGTGTTGAATTTCCTTGACCCGTTCATTTCCATGGACTTCTTTTCTACTAATAATCATAAAAATATGTGGTTTACCATGGTACAATGTACCTATTAAACGCGGCTCATAAAAAAATTTTATGTTCTTCGAATGTCGTCGTAAAATTGGCCGCATTTCTAATTTTCAAATGAGAATACAATCATTTACAAAGTTGTAGAGATTGATATGTAACCGGTCGCCATCAGGATATGAGACAAGTTGAGAAGAGATCGATTTTTTTCTCATCCGGTGAGAGTGTCTATTGCTTCTGTTTGTTTGAAACTGTTTGAAAATGATTCATGGTGAATTTTATCAATTCGGACTTTTCCTCTTCTAATATGATTCTACTATGATTCGAAATATATGAAAGAACAAATAGAATTGAAATGAATAGCTGAAACATCAATTATATCAAACAATAAAACTTGAAATGAAAATATAGTAAAACAAATGAAATAATCAAGATATATAATAGTAATAGTAATAGTAATAGTGCAAAATGGGAATTTACTCGAGCGTCATAGAGACATATTAGGTTGCAAAGCTTAGATGATAAGAAAAAAAAATGCTATGTAATATATACTTTTTCATCGGTGGGGGAAGCGGCTATAGATTTTGAAAATATGTAAAAAAATACAGTTGCATGGACATACTCGAGCGCGTCAGATATTGATAGCATCAATGTCCTACGTATTTTTAATAATGTTCGTATGTTAATCTGATCGTTTGCATGATGCGGGTGGTTGTACGTAAGGGTTAAAAGTGAAAAAAAAAAATAATCGAGCGCATCAGATATTCTACGGGAGTGTTAAGTGCAACAAAAAAAGCTCTCATTCAATAATCTGAATGCCATTATTATAATGTGCAAAAAAAATTCGCCATTTTGAAATACTCAAGCGCGTCAGATTAAGACATATATGGTTCATCTTTATGTTCTAGACATGCTGTCTCATAATCTGACGATTATCTAGAGAGATTCACCTAATCTGACATTTTTTTTTAAATCATTGAACTTAAACAATTAAAAAGCTCAGGGAAAAGCATGTAAATAAATAAGTGTATGTTTTTTAAGTAGAATACTTGTATTTATAAGAAAATATTTTTTTTAATTCTCAAAAAAATTCAATTTTTTATAATCAATTGATAAATTAATCATCATCTTCTTCACGAACGAGTCATGGCAACAAAATTCAGAGTGGGGACGGAGTGAGAGAGTAATAGATAGAGAAAAAGTGAAAGAAGAGTAGAAACTCGGAGAGGGAAATATAGGTATCACACAGCGTCACGCATTAAACTTTATCGACAGTTTATTTTGGCTTGCGGAAAGCGTCAGTTTATATATTTTTCGTTATCCTTGAATCATTTCCTTCAAAATAAAAAAAATTAGCTACGCTCGAAAAGACGTTATTCATTCACAACTTTGCTGCCCTTCCCTTTCTTTACGTCACTCTCAAATTGTCAGATTACTGGAATATGCACTTTTTAGCATGTAATTAACTCACCCTACTTTAATCTGACGCGCTCAAGAATTTCTGCTGATCAATTTTTTTTTCTAATCTGATCCTTTATCCTTCACAGGCGGCTTTATATATGGGGCTCATATTTGGTGGAAGTATTTAACCGGGTACAAGGTACCCTCTGTATATTAATCTGCCGCGCTTCAGTAAATCCCGAAATCCCCGCTTGGGAAAATAACCAAAGAATAGGTTAGGTTAGGTTAGGTCAAAAGTCTGTATTTGTAGAGTAGGGAGGGTGAGTGTAGGCCCATAGCACTTAGGTCACATGTGACCCATTGTACATCCTTCCAAGAAGTTGTCCTCCTATTTCATCGTACATCCTGTCCTTTCCAGAAAGGTGCACAGGTCACTGGGAGACATCTCCTTTATATTGGCATGTGTAGGCCATGACTGTCAGGCATGTCTCTAGGACATGCTTGACAGTCTCATCTTCCTGTTAACACATCCTGCATAACATCCACACATAGCATAGTGTGTCCACTAGCCCCATATTACGGAGGTACTGGCGTTTCATCAATATTTTCCTGTTATTTTTCACCTTTCTCAATCGAAATCCAAGTTAATGCATTTCTTTTCGCAAAGACACCCTGCTAGCCTGTAGTCAATATCTCAGATGATAGTTTTATGAATTTCCCTAAGCGTAGGTTAGGTTAGGTTAGGTTAGGTTAGGTCAGGTTAGGTTATTACTTATGCATCTACGTAAAATTGCGAAAACAACAAAATCCATCATAATTTTCGAATTTTTAATACAACTCTTTCTATTAGAAGTTGAATATGTTTTTTCTCATCATTTTCTATTTTTTTCATCAAGGATTTGATTATGCGTACAGTTCGCACGCAAACCCCTGTAGACTCAGCTATTCGTTCTTGAACCTTCAAAGTTAAAA